CATGTTGAGGGACTATTTTCTCGGAATTTTACTTTGCCGGTAAAATATATGCTAGTTGATATCAATCCGCCACTTCTAAAATTATTCCACTGACACAGACATTCACATCGACAGTCTGGCATTATAATCGTTTTGCTTCGGGTGCTTTGTGAAGTGGGTAAAACTGTTTTTAGTGGCAGGATAACTATGGCCATTGACATGCACTAGCCTAGTACCAGCGACCTCTACAAATACAAGGACTGGATGGAATAGTTTTTTAAATGTCTCCACACGTCTCCAACACTCTGGCTCACTAGGAAATGAGGCCCTATGTCCAAAATTCTGGACTGTTCCTTTAACCTCCCTGGCCCCCAGTGTCTGCGTACACTGGTGTATGAATGGGTGAGTGATTCCTTTATGTAAAGAGCTTTGAGTGCCTTGAAGGTGACTTAATTGTATTGTGAATTAATTGCATTGTATATGTGAATTTATTGTATTTCAAGCTCCCCATTACAGTCCATTTTCCAATAATGTGACTTAACCACAGCATCAGACCTTATATTTTATCTTAATATTTTGGATTCTTGAGTGGGCACGGCATGCTACTTTCTTTTTTAACCTCTACCACTGCTTTGCACTTTACAACCCTATCACCATTATAATGCGAGTTTGGATACCAGTGTTTTCGTGGTTCAGACGGCTAACAACCCAGCAGCGCTAATCCCATGTACTCGTGTGATCACCCCCTCCCCTCCTCCCCTCCGCCCCGTAATACCAGCCAACCAGCTCTGGCTCCCTGCCCCAAAACAACTGCTATTTCTAGGGATGAATACAAGGAAGCTTCCCTCCCCAAAGCATGGAACGGCTTAAATACTCAACATAGAGAAAAATACTGTTTGCAAAGCCCATTGTAACCTTATGATCAGGAGTTTTTGTATAGTGATGGTGCAGAAGAAGTTGTGGGAAAAATAACTGTATTATTGGTGAGGAAAAGGGTGTATTTTTGCCTTGACAGCCCGTGATAACGGACAAGGAAAATATGATTTGTATTCAGAAGTATTTTTGTGGAATAACAGACGAGAGAGGAGGATATAAAAGGACAAAAACATATCAACCTATCCTAGCTGTTCAATGTTTGGCAAGGGAACTAAAGCCAGATGTAAGAAGTGCTAGTGATGCTTCATTGGTTTGTTAAATAAAGTAAGTGAAATAATGGTTTTCAGAAAAGGCAAAAAATGTGATGATGATTTTGAAGTGAAGCAGAACCTTACTGTATATTTGAATGTGTAGGATTAAAGAACAATGCTGAGTTTAGTTTAATATTGTAAATGGTGGCATGCAGGACGCTCTGCACTTTGAATTTTAGTTTCAGAGATAAATATATTAATATTTTTTGCCCTCATTTGGGTTAACCACCATTCAGAACTACCTTATCCATTATTTAGTTAATTAATCTTAGAGCTGGGATAGTCAGATTTAAAAATTTGATACAGTTCAATAAAAAATAAAGGATAAATCATGGCTGTGATACTAAACGTCTTTGTTAAACCACTTCTTGTGCAAAGTTAATATGACAAATGCTCATTTTAATCCCAAAAACATTGAATATGCCAAATGTGTCGCATAAACGAGTTTCCTTCCTTTGAGCAAGCAGCAAAACTGTAGTGTTGTAACAAAATAATTTAGTAAAAAATATACCAAAAAATACTCCTGGTGATACATCGCATTAAACAATACAATATATCGATATTTTGATATTTCTGTACACGCCTAGTCCTGATGGTACTTGGAAAACCAAATATTAAGTTAGGTGGTACTTGGTGTGAAGAGTTTGAGAACCACTGTTGTAACGAATTGATGGCTGGATATAAAGATGAAGCCTTTGCCCATGTAAATAAAGGTGCACTATGTAACTTTTCCGGTGCAGAGTCTGCCACACAGCATACTTGTCTCCATGTTTATGTTTTTTCTTTGGAATGTTGCACAGTATGGCATTACACTTGACTTCAACAACAGGTTTATCATTACTTAAAATATAAAAAGCTGGAACATTTCAGGCAAAGCAATAACATCTCCATGGAGACAAGCAGGTGGTTTGATACTTGAAACTGCGTCACCCCTCCTACAGTCTACGGTTGATGGCTTATATCTTTACAACACATTTCACAACAAACAATAATTTATGCATTTCATTAATATTATTTTAGCTGTGGCTGATAAAATGTCTTTATGGTCTAAAATTATTACAAATACAACCATTGTGTACAAACATGGTCGAATATCTAGTCCTGCGCCTTCCTCCACAAAGCATTGACCATCGGAACAGCCCCAATAATACGACGCAATCACAATCTTCGGCGTGTAATTACAAATACTTGAATTATGTGCTTTATCGTCGTCCAACAACACTTTCTTTCACAAAAAAATCATTGTTAGTGGAAAACAAAACCAGGCAGCCCCCCCTTCCCCGTCTTCTCCCCTCTCCTGTCCCCTCTCTCTTATTATAAGCAGTGGAGGTTCGCGCGCCGTTTCACAATTATGAGTCTCTGCAGGGAGCTTTCATTAATGTTATGCTAATTTTCTGTATCCAATTAATTCCAGCGCTTGTGCCGTCTCTTCCTCTCGCGTTCTCTCTCCCCCCGTTTGGAAATCAGAGCCGTCAGTCAAGTGTGGCGCCGCAAAATACAAACCCACTAAAATAATGTGAGCACGAGCTGGAAATATCACATGTATGGTATAGAAGAAATAATGTTTTGATTTATAAAAAAAAACAAACATACATTTTATATAATTGAGAAAAGACAAATTGGATATTCAAGTAATTGAGGAAAGGCTGCTCCATAAATTATCTTTTCCTATCTCCAGCACCCTCTTCTACTACAATGCACTAATGTGTTTTAAAATGCTTAAAAAACATAATTTGCCAAAAGTCAAATTAACGCATTGGATTTATATAGCGTCCGTCAAGACACCAAAAAAACACTTTGCTATTCACTATTCACTCCACACTGTAGCTCTGTAGGCCTGTCAATACATATATCAATACATTTGTGTGCAATATTTATCAGTTATACAATTTCTTTGCAAAAGTGGTTTATGTAAGAAAAATAAAATTTGAGTTGTAGAGGGTAGAATAAGCTAGCCAGGCTGGTGCCACCTAGTGCCTCTGCTCAATTTCATTTCTCTCCAGCGACTAGGTCAGGAATGGTTTGCAAGGAACCCCAGAACTTTGGAAAGATGTATCCGAAGCCAGACGTTCTGTATTGGCAACAATTCCCGAGATTGAGCATTTAAAGTCGGAACAAAGAGAATGTTTGGTGAATTTTATCAAGGGGAAAGACGTTATTGCCCTTCTTCCTACGGGATTTGGGAAAAGCTTAATATACCAGTTAGCCCCGTTAGCGGTGCATTACATACGTCACGAACAAGTAGCAGCGATTGGTTAAATAAAAAAAGGACCCACCCACTGTCGAGCAAACGAATCCTAATTTGTGAGGTCAGACGGTTTCCACGAAGTAAAACTGGCTGATGAATCAGGCTAAGAATAAGCAACTTCCATGGCTAATTATTGGTTAATTCTGGTGTTTATTTGCTTTGCTTATTTACTTTTTAATGGTACAGTATATTTAAAAAACAGTATATTGGAATTATTTAGCTTTATTGTTATTGTGTCAATGGCAAAAAGTTGTTTCAATATTATCGTTTATCACAATATTTCTGCAGCGATATATTGTGCTTCAAAATTTGTTATCGGGACCCCTTCACTCACTTCTACGCACAATGACCACTGCACCTGGTATTCCCAGCAGTCCCCCACACAAGCACTAACCAGGCCCGATCCTGCTTAGCTTTAGAGATCAGACGAGTTCAGGCATTTGCGAGGAGGTTTAGTCTGTGTACTCTGTGTTTTCCCACAACTTAATCCTTCCTTCTAGTACAGAGCATTTATCTTAGAGGAAGCTTCATAATTGCCACACTCCTAATTAGTCATTTAAGAACACTTCACTCTAGTGCCAGCAGAGGGCAGCACTATCTTACCCATACACTGAAGTGGACTAAATGAGTATGACGTCACTACAGCGCTCGAGTCCAGTCAAATGAAGCTCACAGAGGCCTGCAGTTATAGAGTTAATTTGGACCTGTGTTCCATATTAGGCATAGGAATATATTTATGGACATAATTGCAAAACAACAGCATCTTACAGAGCGGGTTAATACAAATATCTTTTTAAGACAAATTTTTATCAGTTGGCCTTCCTTTAACTTGATCTTATTCCTTATTTATTTTTATTTGTATTTATTTATTTATTTTTTAATAATTTATTGGATTGTTTGCAACACTGTTTGTTTTTGTAAGCCTTCTGCATGCTATTTTTATTCTTTTTTGTATTGTTCTTTGCTGCTTGTACAGTGCTTTATGAACAAAGATTTATTATTATTATTATTTTAAGATCAAAATGTCGAGGCTCACTGCAGCATTTACAAAGAGAGAGGAGTGACAGTTTTTCAATGTAAAGTCAACTGGAGCCGATGGAAGTTCCCGGAAGTTTCCCCATGCTCACTTTCTATTTGGAACGCAGCAACTAGGAGGATAGCTATTTCCATTTATACAGACGATCTTATCTTAGCCATGCTGCTAATTTGTAATTTCGAACTGCCACAATCCTCATATGTACCAGAAGATGGCATCAGACACCTAATCCAAATGTTCCTTAAAGGGACGGTCTGGAATTTTGGGCATAGGACCTCATTTCCTAGTTACAAGGACTGGATGGAATATATTAAAAAGTGCCTAAACACATCTCCAACACTAGGGCTAACTAGGAAATGAGGTCCTGTGTCCAAAATTCCTGACTGCCTTTAACATTAACATCAAAAGAGAATACTCCAAATAATATATATAGAAAACCTACAAACTACCAAAGTTATTTTCTTTCTGTCAGCACAAACATATAATAAACAGAGACACTGACGGTCACAGATTTTGTCACATGTAAACATTGTTGACATGTTAGTCTTACCCTGAGGTAGTTGAGGGTGAAGTTGGTCAGACCCATTCGAGTGATGTTTTTGGACAGTTGCTCCAGCACCTGAGGGTCTTGTGCCTAAAGCCAAGCACAGAAACACAGCAGAAATTAAAATCAATGTTAAAAGAATACAATGTACTAGGGTTTTTACATTTTTACTTTGCAATTGTATTGTTTTATTCTGTGCACACGATTAAACTAATTGTTCCAAGCATACAAACACGCTGTAGTCAAACTGAGTATTATTGACATTTATGATAATTGCAAGTCTAATTTGATGCTCTCATCATGTTAATTAGTTTAACTCTAAGTCTGATAAATGGCTGTGTTTGGTGCATAATTTAGGCATGCAACAATCCAGATTTTTCAGTTCCAGAATGAAATAAGACAAAACTGATCATAATCCTAAACATTCTGAGTCTTTCTGGGCCAACTATGACCGCTAAAGAGTCATCAATTTATATGTCCAACCAGGATATAAGGTGAAACGATATTTGGAAACTGATATCTGATCTAGCAAACAGATTCACCGCTGATATCTGCCTTTTATCATTTTACAAGTGCTTGCACACTTTAAAAATTGCAGTTGAAGTCAAATATTGTTTTTGGTGGATTTAGCAAAAATCTGCAAAAACAAAAGTAGTTGCAAATCAATTTTACTTCAATTTTGACTTGAATCACGTTTCTCAACCTGTGATATGGGGATAACTTGGGTCTTGGTTTGCTCCGGGTTTGGTCATAGTTGGTCATTTTAGTCCTACATTTACAGTAAAATGCAATTCCTGGTTTGTTCCTCTTCCAATTTTCCAGAATCCTTTTATTTAAAGACCAAACATTTTTTCTGAACAGCCACCCAGTTTGTAAATCTCTTCTGAATAGATCTGCAAGTGTCACTATGTCATTGTTATATTTTCCTGGGCTTCAGGATGATGAAAAATTAGATCTGTTGCTATAGTAATTAACAATTTAACGGAAAATATTTTATCTTTGAATGGTGAAAGTCCTCAAAATGATGGCAATAACATGACAGCTCAAGCCCATGATATAAGCTGATTGTTATTGCATTTCAATACAACTACAAAGTCATCTGACAGGTAACATCCACGCTACCTTAGAATCTAGAACTGTAAAATAAAAGATTTAAATGTGAAGTTTCAATACGCCATAACAAAGTACAAAGAGCCTACTACAAACATTAATATAATATAATGACAGCTGCTGGTTAAAAACTTCTATAAAACCATATCTCTACAAACTTCTTCAAAATAATCTGACAATGGAAAAAAGTGGTTGATATTGACAGTGCAAAAACAAAGGCGGGTATAAGGAGCCCTCTTAGATTCAGCAGCTCATGAAAAATGCATTATTCTTGCTGCGGAGGAAAGAAAGTCAAGAGGGAAGCCGGGAGTTTGATTGACAGCCCGACCGGAGCACTCGGTATTATTGGCACCACAATCAAAATGGCTTCTCTCAGGTAGAATTAGGCTAAACGTATGGGACTATGATTTGGGTTGATGTGGTGATAGACAGTGAAGGGAAAGAGGTGGTGGCCAAAAATGGATAAATATTTCAAAACAGCAGAGACAAAAATAAGGATGTCAAGAAAGACCGGTAAGAAGTTCACACGTTCAAACTGAATATGAACTTGACAATGATGACAACTGTAATGATGATTTGACAATTAAAAGTAAATAAATGGCAGTAATGTTTTGTATTTTGGTTCTTAAGTCGTCCAATCAGAAAGCAGAATGAACTTCATGTAGTGTTGTCACAATACGGAAATAGACTCAATACTCAATATTGGTTCTGATACCACAATTATAATAAAAAAACACTCTTTCTTTAGACTAGGGGTGCCCACAGTTATTCATCATGCGAGCTACTTATAAAATGACCAAGTCAAAATGATCTGCCTACTACAAAGCCAAGCAAACTGTACTGTACTTAAACACTCTGCACCCTTTTTTTTTGTACCCTCACCCACAGTTTGAGAACCCCTTCTTTAAGAGAACTTCCAGTGGCACTTTACACAAAACTGAAAGGATTTTTAAACCATTTTTTTCAAGTTCCTAACTGTAATCTAACACATTGAGGAGGGAGCCTGTGTGCGCTGTACGCAGGGAGGAGAGAGACCACAAAAAGAGGAGCGGCATGCTGAAGTGAGGCAGATGGACAGGTAGTATGTTCTAAAAAGTTTAACCTGCTCTGTGATACATGCTGGTACACGCTGTTACGGACAAGCCACGTGCACGAAGTGTGTGTGTTTGTGGTGTGTAGCAGAGTATCCGCGGGTTCCAAATGAGCGCACAGGCTGCAGTGAGATGCTCCCGCACGCCAGTATAAGTTTATTGCCGACAGCAGCGGCCGTAATGAAATATGATCACACTCTGACTCGTGTCAGCCCTTGAGTGAGAGAAAAGACGGAGTCCAAACGCAATCGAGTCCGTGACGAGCCGTCTATCCACAATACCTTGGCTATCAACTGGTAGATCCCAATCAATGTATTGGGCACCCTGCTTTAAACAATAGACATTAAATCATAGTACTTTCTTTTATAATACTAAGTGGTTTTATATCTGTGTAATCCCTCAGTGGTCCACAAAGTTTCCATAGTGATCCAAGTGCGTATACTAGTCTATGTGCTCTTATATTTGTTCTGATACAGCTCAAGATCATTCTAAAACTCTTCAGGAAAGGTTCATTTCTGTCCTGTGAATGTGATTTTTTTTTTTTTAGTATCAATACATACTCAAGTATCCGATTTTCGATACTTTTGATTGATTGCATTTATATAGCGCCTTTCAAGATACCCAAAGCGTTTCACAGCTCTTTTCTCAGTTTTTTTTTCTTCAGTTTTTTCTTTTGAACAACCCTAGCTCTTCTATAACTTTCAGTTGCCAAATTCTAATAAAATCAGTTGATATGATGTAGTTTCATGACAAGTAAGGCGGCATGTTACAGCTATAAACTTAAACCTTACAAGTATTTTTTAAAAATAGGTAAGTAAAAGTTAATCTCCATCCCTAATAATGTTGTGTCCCTGGGCAAGACATTTCCCCTACTGACCAAATCAAAATACATGTGGTTGGCTGTGAATCAATGACCTGCTCTGGTAAATTAGTGAATGTCTTTCTTCACTCTTCACCCTAATTTTCTACTTAATTCTACCCTGTCTATAAGTCTAAATCATCAGCTGCGCTTTATAACAACTAGTGTTAATAAAACAGAAAGAAATACTTCATTTATAAAGAAGAAATTGTTTGTATGTATGATTCAGGATTAGTTACAACTTAATTGAGGAGTTACTAAGCCTGAATCAATGTAAATAAACTATTTGTTGAAAATTAAGTCTTTCTTCATGGTTTAGTGAGGCTACTTAAGTGCAGTTATTTAAAAAAAATCAATGGAAAAAAAACAAAAAACACTGACCTATGAGATATTATAATTCTGTACTTTCAAATATGCTAACTGCTCTACTTCAACCCAGATTAAACTTATTCAACTTCTGTGAAACTTTTCCCTCCCTACCGGCCCGCGCTCCTCACTCATAATTGATTCATGCATCATTCTGGGCTTTAACTTCGTAAACTTTGAGAAATAAGTGGAATAAGACTGAACCAGATTTTCTTTTCCCCCATCTACTACCACCAGCACCACCAACCAACCCCCCAGAGGACCGGCGCTATAGTCCAGCAAGCGCACTTCAAAACTGGGCTCTCCTCAGCTCCTGCCTCCCTGCCTGCCTGCTCCATAGCGTATGCAAGATCTCCTCTCCCCTGCGCTTTCCCGTTCGCTTTCATTAGTCTAGGCAACGATCAAAAGAGTCAAGCACACTCGCTCAAATCAGAACACATCTCCTCCACAATGCCATGCCCGGCTCTCCCAGTCTCTCTTTCTCCAGGAATTAGCCAATACCCACAGGGGCCAATTTATGGACCAGTGAAATTCATATGAAGATTTGGACAAAGAGTGAAAAAAAAAAGGTTCAAAAAAGGTTGTTCATGCGACGATGCTCCGAACACACCTTTAGTTTAGTCTGTGTAGGTAAATAAAAGTACTGGTAAATCCGATAGAACAGTGAATGTAACATCACATTTTAAGGTGTATTGTGTTGAATTGACTTTTTTGAGGGTTAAGCAATGGTTTAAGGCTTCTCTATCAAAAACATGTATCGAAACACAGGGTCCCAGTAGATGACGCCATATAGTGATCCTATCCAAAGCATGCCATTCACTTAAACTACTTCATTACAGAATACATAATGAGGAATTTTAACCTGTTGTTCATATGTATATTATAATAACCTAGAAGTTCTCAAATATTAATGTTAATTAGCCAATGGGATAAAAATATATAGGATTTTACGTTTATGTTAATTATCCGTCTTTATTCAATCCATTTGCTTTTTTTTGTCTATTATACTGAATTATAACTTTGAGAACAAGTTCTACAACCTAGAATTTTACAGAAATAATCAGGCAACAGTTTTTTAATGGGGCATCTCTTTAGGTATGGTTAAACTCAGAGTAGAGACACTGTTCCTCATACTGGATTATGTAGGAGCAGTTGTAAGACAGTACATACAGTTCAATGTGTCAGCAAACACAGTAGTTAAATGTAATATTATTTATTTATTTATTTATTTCATTCATAAAGCATAAAAAGACATCGACAGTGTCACAACATCAAACACACAAGAAATGAATGAAAAGGAGCAGAAAGAAGAAAAAATCTTATGTTATCTGCCCCCCTTTCCTTTTTCAAGACAAAACATCAACACTGATCGTCACTAAACATTCCATATCAGTTCAGGCACAATTACTGATCAATTGCAAACAGTAAATCTTCATTATTATACACAAATTAGTTTTCTTTTTTATACAGACACAGTGCATTCGATTTTATATGTTTTTTAAATGTCATCATTGTACTTGATTCTTTTATTTCTTTGTCAAGACTATTCCATAAGTGAACTCCTTTCACAGCGACACTTCGCTCCATAACCTTGGTTCTGAATCTGGGTTTTTTAAACATGTAGGTTCCTTTTAAATTGTAGTGGCTTGTTCTCATCTCAAACAGTTTTTGAATATTTACAGGTAATAAATTACACTTTGCTTTATCCATGACTTTGAGGATACTTAAGTCAACAATATCCTGCACTTTTCAACACTTTAAGTTGAACAAATATTGGGTTGGATGGCTCTCTACAATGACTGCTGGTGATAATTCTCAAGGCCCTTTTTTGTAAAATAAATAAAGGTTGTAGGTAAGTTTTACATGTTGAACCCCAAATTTCCACACAGTACATCAGATATGGTACAATTATAGAGTTAAACAAAGTTAATAATGCTGTACTATTTAGTGAGAACTTTATTTTATGCAGAACAGCAATGGCTTTGGAAATGTTGCCTTTTGTGTACTTTATATGAGATCTCCAGTTTAGACCTTCATCAATCATAACTCCTAAAAATTTAGTTTCATTTACTCTTTGAATTTGTATCCCATCTATTTCTAAAGTTATGTTGTCTTTTTTCTTTTTATCATTAAATAAAATGAAATTTGTTTTTTTAACATTCATAATCAATCCATTTAAATCAAACCAATATTTTACTTTTCTTAGCTCTTTGTTAACTTTACTTGTGACCTCTTTTATGTCTTTTCCAGAGTAAAATAATGTTGTGTCATTATATCAATATCAATCTGCTGCACCAATAACAGTATCCAGTGTGAAATAAACTACTTGAGTTAAAGTGATATTAACCATCTATCACATTTATGCAAATTTTTGTGCTTTTTGATGAAAAATTTTACTCTGCAAAATGAGTGTAAATAATGCACATTTTACAATATTTTAATGCAGTGACTTTATGAAAAAATGTAGATAAAAAGGGTTAAAACATTAAAATAATAATAATAATTATCATTATGTTGGTTGAGTAAATAAAAAGTTTCAAACAACATGAATCTTCTGATTTTTGTTTATAGCCAAATGAATTTCAAGTGTACAAAAATGCGCTCTAATACCTTTTTTTTTGTTAACTATGCCATTGCCAAAAAAAAAAAAGATTTTGAAAAATTATGGCTGATAAACTTTGACCTACATTAGGCACTTAAAATGGAACCAAAAAAAATCCCAGTTTCCATCAAGCATGTGGAAGATATTTCACTTTGTGATTTTTAAGTAAGAAATGTGTTGACTTTATGAAAGAAAGTCGGCAATTAAAAAGTTAAAAATATTTGAAAATGCAAATTCAATTATAAGGTGAAAAAAAAAAAGTTTGAAAAAATGTTAATCCTCTGATTCTTTTTATAGCCAAATGAAAGTCGGTTACTCAAAGTCAACTTTTTTAAAGGTTAAGGGTTAAGAACGTCACAACTGCTAATTTCAGCCAAATGCATGCTGTTGTACACTCCACATTATTGTTGTATTTCTTCATTGTTAGCTTCTAAAATGTTTTATAAAAATAGACTTAAACTGTGCCACATTGAACCAGCTGCTTTCTTTCCTCCACAAAGTCGTGCTCCCTGCAGAGTACAGCCTGCTCCGACTCCGAGACCCCACGGTTCAGCCACTGTACACTTAGTGGAATTAAGCAGATTATTCATTCGACCTTGTTTTTTTTTTTCGTCTTTTTTCAGATGAGGGCCTGTTTCGTTTTTTATCCTGGGTGGCCTTTGAAGTCGGAAAATAAATTGGTTTGCAGAAATCCCTCCAGACTGCTTTGTTGGCGTTTAAATTTCATACGCTCATGAATGCCTCGTAAAGTGGCCCGGCAGAGTGCGCGGACCCTCGTTAGCACAAGAGACCTGGCTGTGGAACTTACACATGATATCATCACAACTGTTTCACTCATCTTAATCTATATTTGTTACTGTATAGAATATAATATGCATAGTCAGTTTACCTAAAGCTCCCTATACTTGGTTGCAAGTGGGAATGATTTGCGCAAGAAACATTAAAGTTTTATTGCCTCACATTTTATATCATAAGGATTTTACTGGACAAATATATTCAACCATGTGTGCAACAATTCGAGTCTGCATGTCATTAGATAAGGAACGCTAGCTCTGGAGTTTGTTAGAATTGATTCAAAGTAATAAAAAGTCCTGGGAAAGTTACAATATATGTGATAAACTTGGATTCTGCAAGGGTACAGACAAAAATGAGTATTACATTTAAATTTAAGACTTTTGGAGAATGCGTGGGTTGTCAAGTTAAAGAGGCTCTACGTAACTTTTCTGGTGGCGGTTTCAGAACTTTCCTGGTGGAGATGTTATTACTTGCCTGGAATCTTCTACAGTATGGCATTAAGTTTCACTTCTTGGAAAGAAGCGTTAGGATTCGATCGCTCAACGGTAGGCAGGTACTTTTTTATTTAACCAATCACTGCTATTTGGTTGTGACATATGTAATGCGCCATTAACGGGGCTAACTTGTATATTAAGCTTTTCCCAAATCCCATAGGAAAAAGGGCAATAAAGTCTTTTCCTTTGATAAAATTCACCAAACATTCTTTTTGTTCCAATTTTTAATCCACAATCTCGGGAATCGTTGCCAACAAAGAATATATGGCTCTTTGCTGATTGGCTGGTGCCCGGACTCGCACTTCCATGGTTCTTGCAAACCGTCTAGTGTATTCTGATTCCTGACCTGAAATTGAAGAAAGCATTAGGTGGCGCCAGCCTGGCTAATTAAACCTGTCACCTATCAGTCTATCAGCACCAACTGTATTTGAAACACATGCAAGATATACAAGTTTAATGCCATACTGTGGAACATTCCAGGCATACAAACAGCCTCCTAAAATACGTCTGTAGCCGCACGCTACGATATTATCATGATATGCATCTCATGGTATGATATTTATTGTGATATTTTAGAGAAGATACTAGATGGGATACTTATTGTTTTTAAAATACCTTAACAAGACCCAATGCAAATCAGTACTGTCAAAATCCCAAGAATTAAAACCACATGGCTCATTTGCATAAACTATAAGCATTAAAAAAAAAAAAAAGCTGTGGTCAGCTGTCAGACTAAAGGAGACGACTCAGTGGAATATGTGTGTTCTTTCTGTGACAGAGGATGTGCTGCTGATGGTGAGTCTGTTCCATGCGTATATGGTGTTGGAGATGGTTCAATTTTTCTTTTCAGAGATTATACCTGTGCTTATTATAAGTGCGCAGGTTTAGAGCAGCTCTTTATTTAACAGCAGTCATTTCATTCACGTACTCTCACTTTATATGTTGATATATGTTGGCTACTGCTGCACTAAAAACATTGACTGTAAAGAGTGAAAGGTGTGAATAACTCTCATAAGTGGTGGGGGATGTTGTGCTTGTTGTAGTCTCCTCACTGCTAATTCCTCCTCCTTGGTCCTTATAGTTGATCTCATGACGTCGCTCTCAGAGGTCAGCAAAAAGGAGAAGGACAAGGAAGGACAAAGAAGGAGGTATTTTTGCTCATTTTCGGACAGAGCCTCAGTCTATAGTTTGAAAAATTATGAAAAAAATAAGTATTTCACTGTTGCTCGGTCATGGCATCAATAATGGTGTAAAAAAAATTGTGTAGTTAAAATACTGAGTATTGATTATCACTCACATGCATGGCCAGGATGCTGCGGGGGATGAGTTCTCTGTACTGTCTGATGGTAAAGTGCCACGTTTTGATCCTCATCAGGTCATCGAAGGCAAACTCCAGTATCAAACGGCCCTCTGTACACACCTGCACACAACACAAAACAATAATGTGATAGAAATACTTTGACATAATGACACTGTGGTTACGCAAAATGCTGCAAAATGCAAAACATACATCCAGGAGTGAATAAAAAGATGAACAAAGACTATCAAAGGTCACTGGTTGTCACATTTCATCATCATTAAGTGATATAAAATAACAGAAAGATTAGGGTAAACATTTCATTCATAGGGTCATATTACATTATTTTCTGATCTGTTATAATGTTGTTTCCTCTTCACACATACCTGGAGTTTGTTTTGTTTTATTCACACATGTTAACACACAAACTCTGCATATTTAGGCTGTATTCCCTTAAACAGAAAACACTCTGTTCGACATTGTGAGGTCATGTGACTCAAGTGCTTGTGGTACGCGGGGGTACGCTGTCCACCCACTTTTCCTGACGTGAGATATAAAAAAAATAAATATAAAATAGCTACAACTTAAATGTCAAACCGGAGATACTGGCAATGGTGAAAACAACCTGCATAGGCTCATGGTATCTCCAGTACTGTCTTATAGAGAACTGAAGCAGGACTAAACTAGGACTAAACCAGGACTAAACCAGAAATTAATCAGGACTAAGTGTCTGGAAGGACCCGAAGGTGCACTTGCGTAGACTGTTGGGTGACCACAGGTGAAAGGACCAGCGCAGAGCTCCATGCTCCATGGGGCTAAGCGTAGCCATCCCCTTCACGCTTTGTGTACCCTGCTCTATGGGCTCGGGGTTCTCTCTCTCAAGTCCAAGATTAGTCCTGGTTTAGTCTTGGTTTAGTCCTGCTTTAGACCTGGTTTAGACCTGGTTTAGACCTGGTGTAGTCTTGGTTTAGTCTCGGTTTAGACCTGTTTTAGTCCTGGTGTATTCCTGTTTTAATCTTGGTTTAGTCCTGATTCAGTCCAGGTTCAGTTCTGGTTTATTCCTGATTTAGACCTGGTTTAATTCAGTGGTTCAGTCCTGGGCACATGTGTTGTATCCTATAATTTATGATCTGTACGTGATTATGAATGGCGTGGGTGGGCGGGATTCATCACATCGATGACGTCACAAATCGCGCACCCCCACTTAAAAAATCCCTACCACACCACTGCTTAAACATGTGTGAATGAAACAAAACACAACTCCAGGTCAGTGTTTGATAAGGCAACATCATTACAACATGTCTCAAAGCTTACAGTCCATTTTGTTTAATATAAGACCTTTAAACCATTAACCCAAGGCTTAAGAGCTGAACTTTTATGTTGTATATAGTTTACAAAAAGAGAGAGAAAGCAACAAGCTAATACTGGGGAAGACAGAGAAAGCTTATTGATTGGGCATTGCTTGGAATGAATACCAGAACCCTGGCGCCAGAGAATACAGAAAAAGTCTGCAACTTTTACCAAAAGTACAACTAAACAAAAATGTAGACTGGAGACTGGATTCAAGCTTCCATTAAAACAGCACGATTTTAATGTATTCTTTTAATAAAGTCCCATACTATGCAGCAAATACAAACTCATACAAAGCCAAAGTAACAAGCAGTGTACATGAGAAGGTGCATTATACTGATCTGAGATGAAATAGAAAAGTACTATTTGTTTGACTTACAAATGGTGTTTTCATGATACTAAAATTTCAAACTTGATTTCAATATTAAGTAGGGATGTAACAATAACCGAAATATCGTGATATTGTACCGTCAAAGTTCTCACAATAATATCGTGGACTCTTCTCTCTTTGCTTAAATTAAGAGTCATGGTGCAGCAATAGCTCAAAAAAGACATAGAGAACTACACAGACCATGATCCTTTGCTCCATTTCAATGTAGACTACAAGAAAAAATAACAGTTGTTAGCACTTTTACGTCTTAGTTCTTTGGATTAAATCTTGTCAAGGCATTTTAAGTGGAAAAAGTTGCATATTAACAGTTTTGCTAGCTCCACAAAATATCGCAATAAATATCGTACCCTGAGATGTATATCGTGAAAACCGAGAGATTTGGATATCGTTACATCCCTAATCGTGAGCCTCCCCACCATATCGGGAGCTTTCCCAAGATATCGCAATAAATATTGTACCATGAGGTTCATACCGTGACGATACAGTATTGTGAGATTTGCATATCGTTACACCCCTAATATTAAGGTATAAACTTGATATTTAACACTGATTCCGATACTACAATGATAATTCGAATCTTTATTTAGACCATACAGTGTGATTTTCAACATAATAATAGTACTTTCTTTTGTATTACCTTATATCTATGTAATCCCTCATTTGTCCAGGTAGGATTCATAGTGGTCCATGGGCGTATACTAGTTTATGACTCTTATACTTGTTCTGATACAGCTCAAGATCATTCTAAAGCTATTCAGGTTTATTTCTGTCCTCTGAATGTGACTTTTTAGTACTGACCTGCTCAAATCTAGTTCACTACTATACTATAACTAGTATCGATTAGGGATGTAACAACATCTAAATCTCACAGTACGATATTATCATGATATTCATTTCACGGTAAAATATTTATTGTGATATTTTGGAGTGGTTAATAAAACTGTAGACAGGATACTTTTTGCATTTAAAACACCTTAACAAGACGTAGGTTGGAATCATTATTATCATAATCTCAAGAAGAAGTAAAAAACATATAACTTCATGTTGTCTGCACTGAAATTAATCATGGGATATGTAGTTCCTGATGTGTTTTTAGCAGTTGCTACTATAAAACCATGCATTAACCAAAGGAACTTGTAATTCAATATATTGTGACAGTTCTCGATATTACTGTGAGCGTTTTAACGATACGATATCACAATATTTCAGTTATTGCTAGATCCCTAGTATCTATTAGTATCTGATTTTCGATACTTTTGACATCCCTACTTACAAAAATAAATACATAAATGAATAAATAAAATAATAAAACATGAAAAAAACAATTAAAATATCCATGGTATATAACATACGTGACTCAACTCTTTATATTGGATCTCTACGTGTGTTGTACGGCTACTTTACACCACAACAAAAACAGCACATAAATGCATGTTTATTGAACCCGGCCTGTCCCATTTCCATAAAAATCCCTGCAAGGTTTTCTTTCCTGGTTTGGAATTTTCTCAAGGACTATTACTCTCACTATATTTACTCCTCATTCAGTGGCTGTGTCCTTGGGCTTGCACCATTCTAGCTCATTGGCAAAATGCGAAAATAAATGTAATCTGGAGAGGCTAGTGTTTACGGCGCAGACAGAAAGAACTTTAGGTCAGAGAGAATGAGAGGGGGAGAGAGAGAGAGAGGGAGAGAGAGAGAGTTGCCAATTAGGAAAGAAAAAAAAAAAAAAAAAAAAAAACATTACATTTTTCCTATTGGTCCCTTTGGCTGAATCCAGAGCTCGCCCGGGCCTTGTTCGGTTGCTGTGACAACCAAAATAGAGTGAGAAATAGAAAAGAGTGAGAGATAAAGGGAGGAGAAACAGACAGAGTGAGGGGGGTGGAGGAAGAGAAATAGATAAAGGGAGTAAAGGATAGGAGAAAGGGATAGATAGAGTGAGTGACACAGAGCGATAGATAGTAAGAGAGAGACAAAGAAAGATAGATGAAGTGTAGAAAAGAAAAGTAGGGTAGTTAAAGGGTAGTGGAGGGACAGTCTGAGAGAGAGAGAGAGAAACAGAGGGGGTGGAGGGAGAGAAATAGTTAAAGGGACGGAGAGGGAAGCTAAAGAGCGAGGGTGAAAGAAAGTGGGGAGAACAGGGTGGAGGGAGGGAGACATAAAGTAAGAGAAAGACAAGTTAGAGAGAGAGGAAGACAAAGAAAAAAAAGGAGAAGATCAAGAGAGGTGGAGGCAGCGTCAGAGAGAGAGAGACAGATACAAAGAGAGAAGGAGAGAGAGGTGGAGAGAGAGAAAGAAAGTGTGAAGGGGATAGAGGGAGAGAGAGAGAGGACAAAAGAAAGCGAAACATGCAAAGAGAAAAACGAGAGGAGGGTGAGTCAGTGTGAGAGAGAGAGGGATAAAAGAGGAAAGAGTGAGAGAGTAAAAAGAGAGAGAGGAAGGTGGAGGGAGAGTCAGATACAGATAGAGAGAGAGAAAAAAATCAGCTGATTAGTTGGCATGGCAACGGGAGAAATGTAATCCCAGTAGACACACTCTAATCAATGCCCCCAGCACAGATGGTCTCCCGAGGATCAACAAGAAAGAGGCTAGCGGCCATAGCCACCCCCCACCCCCCCTCCTATCTCACCCCCCCCTCACCCAATACTCCCCCCGCCCTCACCCCTACAACCACAACCACGTGACCCAACATTAACTACAGGATGAAGAAGAAAATGTATTCCGAAAAGCCAACTGCACAATGCCAGGGAAGTGGTCAAACGTGGAACAATGTCTGAAAACAAAAATGTTTAAAGGTCCTGTATTCATGCAGTCAAAAACATACCCTGAGTTGTGTTTTGTTTCATTTACACATTTAGAGTTTTGAGTAATTTTGAGTAGTTTTGAGTAATCTGCATCCCTAAAGCTCAAAATTGCTGTACTCACCGACACTCTAGAATAACCTTAAATTGTGGATTTTTGTTTTAGCTTTTGTACAGTTGAGATTGTCCATAGAAAGTCTCTAATATTTGATGGTGCACTGAGGAGAGAAACAGTTTCAGTGAGGCTAAAACAATAGCTGTAACTTCAAAGTTAGGCAAAGCAGGGCTGAAATGATCAAAACGATTCTAATGAAGGTGTATGAATTTAAACAAATTGTGGAGGATTCCCTGCATTAGCACTTAATGACATCATAAGGTGGAACATAGTGTTTTTTTGTTTGAGAGAAGAACTCAAAAAGAACCTAAAGTTGCTTTTCAACACATGTGAAATACAACTCAACAGTCAAAAATAGAGCAATATTGGCTCTTTAAAATAAACTACAGTTGTGGATCATTCAGAGCTCCCATGTGGTCTTAGAAAGTACACTACGGTACACTACTGCCCAAACTCCACTAGTTAAAAT